GTTCTTGTAGACAAAAAGTAATCCCGCTGATGACGGGGGTAGAAGCGTACGTGCCCTTGACTCTGAGGAGCATTTGTAAGCAGGGTCTCAGATCCACCATTCCCGAAGCCCGTGGGTCCATCGGTGGTACTCAAAGGAGTTATGGAGGACGCCCGAGATCACCTCCAGCAGCCAGAAAGAACAATGAGCAAACTCATAAATGCGCATTCCTTTACCGCTTTGAATCCCCAAACTAATTATTGGGTTTTAAGTAAGGGCTTCATCCTAGATTTCAGAGCTTTGTTAAATGGACGTTATTTTTAAATTTGTGAAAATACTGCATTTCACACTGGCAAAGTGCGCTCACGAAATCGTTTTACACTTGAACAATCCTGCACCAGGCAAAGGTCTTGAACCAAAGCAGACGCGGGGCGTGTAACAGGCGTGATTGATTTGTGTTAGAACACCAGCGACACCAGCGACGTGTCAGGCACATCCAGAGACGCGCTGGACAGACTTATGACTCCCAGGGCCGCCGAGAACGCGGGGGCAGAGTCAGCCCCGTCTGTTTGGGGCAGGCATGTAAATCAGCGCGGACCCTCGGAGACAGCCTGGCATCTCGAACAAAAACAGGATAACCACGTGCCCTTTAATAAAAAAAAAAAATCGAGGCACACGTTTCCAGATGTGCGAGCACCTTGCAGGTGCAAAGATGAAGAGGCCCGTCGCTGCATCGTTTCCCACTGGAATGGGGGGCTGATGTGATTGCAAAATTAAGAACAAAAGCATAAAATATGCAATGGAAGGTCTCCCGCAAGGGGCTGTGGGCTGGTCTCCAAAACATCACAACGGGGTAGGTTAACTGCCCATCGCTCACCACCTGTAATGGTGCTCCTTACCCTTCCGGCCCCGAGAATTCAAGGCCGCCACAGTCCCCGTCAATCCTGGAGGGCCTCCTGTGTGCAGGCCGCTGAACCCCTCCCACCCCGGGCCCGCCCACCCCCACCAGGCACCTCTGCAGCGAGGCCTGAAGCAACTGAGGATTCCTTTTCTGCGTCTGTAAAAAATTGAGGGCTGGGACACGCCGCCCTTTGTGGGAAGTGTTCTAAACAATGAGGCTGCAGGTAGCATGGAAGTTCCCCGGGTCAGGATCTCTGGGGTGGGGCCCAGGGAATTCTTAGGCAACAGAAAGGTTGAGAGCTTCTGCAAGCACCTATCTGTGCTTGTTCTTACGTGAGCTCTGGTACCGAACCACCGTGCGTCAGGTATGCGTGGTAAGTACCCATCACGTATACAGAACCTGCATCACATAACAAGGCTAGCCTGTAAGTCCCATCTCAGCCTTACAAATGTGAGGGCAATCATCACGTTAAATATTAAAGATTGTTCAGGGGCGCCGGGGCGGCTCAGTGGGTTAAGCATCCAACTTCGGCTCAGGTCATGATCTCCCGGTTTGTGGGTTCGAACCCCGCGTCGGGCTCTGTGCTGACAGCTCGGAGCCTGGAGCTGCTTCAGATTCCGTGTCTCCCTCTCTCTCTGCTCCTCCCCTGCTCATGCTCTGTCTCTCAAAAATAAAAATAAACATTAAAAACTTTTTTTAATATAAAAGATTGTGCAGTGCATTATTCCATATCCTGATCTCACCCTGGGATCAGGGATCGTGTCTGGTGTGCGTGGTGGTAGGTCGTCTTTTCAGAGCCAACCCTGATTATAGTTATGAGATGGTATTTGCAGGAAAACTAAGCGCTGTCCTGAAGCGGCTCTGTAGGACATAAGTAATGTTACTTGGTTTTAGCTGCCAGAGGTGGCCCAGCAAACGGTGCTGGCTTAATGTCAGTCCCTGACTTCTATTCACTGGAAAGTGACACCATCATCCCTTGCCTGGTGTCTCAGCTTTTCAAGTCACAGGAGCAGCATGAAAACGTTTATCCTTTCTCAGTGATACCTTAGACCTCGATGAGTTAACATTTGTCACACGCATTGTACTTGCATGGAAAGAACGTGGGATTAAATGAAGTATTTAGTCTGAATGTTCTCCTGTGTGCCTGTGTTTTAAACATCTTTCTGTATGTGTTACAAACATTCTCGAATGTAAGAATAGGGGTACTAGTAAATCATGCACGTTCCAGGATTAATTCAACGAAGTGCGTGACTCTTGCTTGAAATGTGTTTAGAGTCTATCCCTATGGACCTGTGTTGTCCAGGTACATGACCGCTAGCTACATGTGGCTATTTAAATTTCAGTTACCTAAACTTAACTAAAATAAAAAAATTCCAGTCCTCGGTAGCACTGGCCACATTTCAGGTGCCCACTAGCTATCGACAGCTAATGGCAAAAGTACCGAAGAGTGTAGGTACAAGGAGCTTGCAGATACAAGAACATTTCTGAAAGTTCCTGAAACGACAGCACTTGGGGCCTCTGGAGGGCTCAGTCGGTTGAGCATCTGACTTCGGCTCAGGTCATGATCTCGCGGTTTGTGAGTTCGAGCCCCGCTTCGGGCTCTGTGCTGACAGCTCAGTCTGGAGCCTGCTTTAGATTCTGTGTCTCCCTCTTTCTCTGCCCACCCCTTGCTTGCTCGCTCTCTCTCTCTCTCTCTCAAAAATAAATAAACATTAAAAAAAAAAAAAAGACTTCAGAGACAGCACTGCTCTGCACTCTCCATGCTGTATCTGGTCTGGCCGGGATGATAGCAAATGCTGAGTGACTCTTGGTGTAATGAGCAAGAAAATAATCACATCTGACTTGTCTTAATAATTCTTAAACGTGACAGTCTGTGACAGTCAAGGCGGAAGACAGAATCTGCTTTAGCCCAAATCCATATTTTGACAGAATTGGATTAGCTGGAATTATTCCTTGCTTCTGCCTGCTTCTAGTTTTGTTTTTATGAACACTTCACAAATTTTGGATCAACCCTCACCCTATTTCTCTGCTAATTTAATTCTAGTCAAATCTGTCATATCTGTTTCTCCAAATAAATTATCTAAGCATTATTTTACCCAAACTGGGGGCTCTCAGTGGAATCGACGATATACACGTTAAACCTTTCAGGAAATTGATTTTTTTCTTAACAGGTTGGGATCAAATTCTAGACGAACTTATTACTTAGGGCAAGAAAGAATTATCCTCTTTAAGCTTCCTTTGCTTAAAAAAAAAAAAAAAATTTAAGCAAGTATCCCGGGGAACCATATATCACCAAGAGGAAACTGGAGACTTCCAGGGCAAAAACCTCACACCCAAGACAAATTCCGCAAGGAAACCTGAGTTGAAACTGATCCAGCTATTTTTAGGACCACAATAAATACACCTTTGGCTTCAGCCCCACAATTTACTGCCGATTTCCACAAGCTGGGGACACAGACACTGCTGCACTTTGTGAGGGGCTCTCTGCACCCCAGGAGGGTAGGTTTCAGTCCAAAGCAGGGTTTCTGGGCTGCAGCCCCTCCCGAACGAGCCATCATTTCCACCCAAACCCAAGCGCGCCCTCCTCCTTCCCGCCCTCTTTGCAAGCCATATCTAAGTTTGCAAATGTTATCCAAGATCTCTCCAGGATATCAAATGAATATAACATTACTTAACCAAATACACTGGAAAACATGCCAGAAATTGAATGATGGGGCCCCTACGGTTCCCAATTTTTACAGCAGGCGTTTCCGTTAAAACAACAACAAAAAATACATTTCTCCTGCAGAATTTAAACATGGCTTTAATGATCAAAAATTACTTTTAGACATTCTCCTGCGACAAGAAACGACTTTCTGATCTGCTCAGCAGAGAGAGCACTTTGCAGCTGCGTTCAAGGGAGAAGCAAAACCAGAAAATGGATTTTCATTGAGTTGAACTGTATTGATGTGGAGAAAGTTAAGGCTGATGCACGTCGCCTTTACTCCGCGTTTGACTTTGATTCGAGATCTAAATGGTTTAATGGAGAGTTGCTCACGGGAATACGGATCTCAGCAGAAGAAACTAAAGGGGCAGGCTGTCCACGGTGACCCCAGAGAGGCCTCCAGGCCACCAGCCCACCCCCCCCCCGCCCCCGCACGCGCGCGTCTGCCCGGTCTCCTTTCGGTCACGTGCAATTGATGCAAAGGACACATCCCAAATATCCCAAATCCCAAATCCCGGCGGGCCCATTAGAGACCTAGTCCTAGGTTGGAACCATCTCCTCAACATCGTTCCCACCCCCACGTCCATTTCTTCAGAACCGTGAACCAAAGTAAGAAAAGGTGCAGCTGCGTTCCTCCCAGCGCGTGCCCTAAATCCTGGGGGCTGGGTCCCCCTCTTCACGGCTAGAAGAAAGGACACGGGGCAGTACGCGACTTCGTTTGGTGCATTTTCCCCTCTCGCCTTTGGGGGGGAAAGAATAGGCGGCTCCGCTGCCCCAGGACTTCGCGTCCCGTCCCTTCCCCGTTCGGCCCCGTTAGGCTGGCGCGCAAAACGGGAGACTTCTGCCCCGAGCCGAAGGGGCCCCAGGGCGGAAGGGCAGAGGGTGGGTGGGGCCCCGCAGCAGCGCCCCTCGGAGGCCGGGGCAGGAAGCGGCCGACTTCCCCCCGTTCGGGCCCGAACAATGGCTTTTTGCCCGGAAAGCGAAGTTCGGAGGAGGCCAGGCGCGCCCCGGGGCGCAAGCGGGGCACGGCGGGCGGCTCCCGGGCCCCAAGCCTCGAGGTGCCCCTTCCTCCCCGCGAGGGGACCCGGCCGCTCCCCCGCCGACCCCCCGGCCCGGCCCCGCCCCCCCGCGCGCGCGCGGGACCCCGGCCCAGGGCGCGAGGCCGAGCCCGCCGCGAACAATGCGCGCCCCGCCCCGCGCCCGCCCCCGCGCGCCCATTGGCCGGCGCCGGACGGGGGCGGCCCGCGGAGGCGGGCGCGGGCCGGGCGCGGCGCGGGGAAGGGACGGCGGTGCGCGTGCGCGGGGCGGGCCCTGCGCGGGGCGGGGGCGGTGCTTTGTGTGCGGCCGGCGGCGGCGGCGGCGGCGGCGCGGGGAGCGGGGAGCGGGCGGCGGCGGGCGCCGCGGTCGGGGCGGGCGCGCGCGGCAGCATGGAGGAGCTGAGCAGCGTGGGCGAGCAGGTCTTCGCCGCCGAGTGCATCCTGAGCAAGCGGCTCCGCAAGGTGCGTGCGGCCCGGCCCGCGCCCGCCCCGCGCCCTCCGCCCCGGCTCACGCGCCTCTTCTCTCCCTGCAGGGCAAGCTCGAGTACCTGGTCAAGTGGCGCGGCTGGTCCTCCAAGTGAGTCCCCGACACGGCGGCTCCCGCCTTCCCGCCCGCGCCACCTCGGCCCCGGGGGGCGGGGGCGTCCGCGCGCTGGGCGGGAAGTTCGCGGGGTCCCCGCGGGCTCGGCGGGAAGGGGGCGCGCAGCCTGAGCGGGGCCGCCCTTTGTTTACGGGCCCGCGGGGCGCGGGGCCGGGCGGCCTCCCCCGGAAGCCCCTCCGGCCGCGGCCCAGACCCCGCGCCCCCGGGCCGCTTCCCTCCCGCGCCCATTTGTTGCCTGCGCCCCCGGCCCGCCTCGGCCCTGCGCGCGGGACGCGAGCCCCCCTCCTCCCGTCCACATTTTCCCCGCTGTAACCTGAGCTTTCTATTGATGGACGTAGGGTTCCTTTTTTTTTTTTTTTCTTCTTTACCTCTTTTAAAGTAAGGAAGGGTATTTGGCATCCCCGGAAGGAGCTCTGTTTACAACCCCTTGGGCGCACCCGTTTCTTCCCGGACCCCACTTTGCTTTGCTTTCCCCTCCCAGTGCCCCGGCCCGCGCTCGCGTGGGCGCCAGCACATTGTTCTTAATCTTTGGGCCGCACTGCTGTGCCCCTCGGCCTTCCCCTCCCTGCATCCCGGAGCGGCCTTCCCTTCCCTTCCCCTCCTGGATCCGGGCCAGGGTTTGGGGGCTTCCCTCCCTGCTACTTCCCATTTTACTGGGATTCGGTTTCCTCCCGGGGAGGGGGAGACCGGGGAGTTTCCCTGATGTGAATTGGGGTTGAGGTGGTGGCCTCCCTTTAAGTTTGAGCCTAAGGTGTTGGCTTCAAGACTCACCGTCTCCAGTCATTCATCCTGGACGTGGGTGGGATTTGGGGGGCTCCGCAGGGATTGGAGGGCGATAGGCAGTTTTCTGAAGTAGCTGGTTAGTCACTGCCTGTTGTTTCTTGATACCTTGTTTTTTCCTTTTCCAGACACAACAGCTGGGAGCCAGAGGAGAATATCCTGGACCCGAGGCTGCTCCTGGCCTTCCAGAAGAAGTGAGAAAGTTAACAGCTCGCGTGGGCAGGGGGACAGGTTGGGGGGACAGGCTGGGGGGACAGTGGCCTGTCACGGGCCGTGCTGGCCTTCCAGGGGGCCTGGGCCGCGCTGAGTCCCAGTAGCAGTGGTCACCAGGGCCCCGTGTTTCGTGGCTGTCCGCGAAGACGGGAGCAAGCTTCGAGGTCCCAGATGAGAGCTTCCGCAGCCGGCCAGCAGCGCAGCGTGACTTAGCGCTGCCTTTGGCCTTCCTGACAGCCACACGTGCAAAAGCGAACCTTGTCGGTTCCTCCGCTTGGCCTTTTTTGTTGAGTAATTTGCTAACAGCGCTAATAAAAACCAGGGTGACAGGTTTGCCGTTAGATTAGTGACCTGGCCGCCCTGGGTGGCCTGAGGGGGCCATTGAGCAAGAAGAGAAGGCTCAGAGAGGGAGCTGAGATGGCACAGCCAGAAGTCCGGCCAGCTGGGGTGTTCTGTGCCGGAAACAGCACCTCTAAGCAGTAAAACAGGCGGTACCGAGTGAGCACCCCTGCGGGTCTCAGGGGATGAATTTCCACTTGTAATTATAGACGAGGTATCTTTTTTTAGATAGGAGACTGGGTTGAGAGGGACCTCCTTTGACCTCAGGCAAAAGGGTGGTGAGTTGCAGGCAATGGATGCCTCCCATCCCGGCCTACGGGCCCAGGGAATGCAATTCTGAAGCGGGCGGGTGGAGGCAAGGTGCAGGTGCTTCTCTGGGGCTCACCCTGTTCGTAGAGGCAGAGGAATTAGTTGCCCAAAGGCCTTCCCGTCTAGGGGCAGTCTGGCCAGCTTGTTCTCTGGTCCGCTTCCCCTCCCCGAACAGAAGCACAGTATTTTTGGTCTTCTCAAAGAGGCCATGGTCGCAGAAGGAAATAAAGAAATAAAGATAGGCTTTTGGCAGAGTATGCAAACAGGTGAGCCTAAACTTGCTTGAGTACCTCTGGAAAAGTTTATCCCTAAGCTGATCTCTGATCATCTGCTATTTAATTCCTACTTTGGTCTTGTAAGTGGGGGGTTGGAGGATCTGGTCCATTTCTCTGCAGGACAGCGTCCTGTTGAGAGGGGGTGTGTCCTTAACTTTATTTTTGGTGACTGCACGTCAGAGAAGAACTAGGTTTAGCCAGCGTCCCAAGAGCATAAAGGTTGAAGCATGGGGTGGTCTGGTTTTATGCCATGGGGGGAGAGAAATCGGGAGGTGGGTGTCTCCCTTCCCCTGTGCGCCCCGAAGAACCCCCACCCCCGGAAACGAGCTAGCAGCCACATGCTTGGGGTGGGGTAACCTGGTGTTTTTAAGGGCAAGTCTGAGGTTCAGAATGTGCAGGTGCAGTTTAAGTATCAGCAGACCCATGAGGTAGTCCTGCCCTTCTAGAAGACCAGTTAGGGGCTGCTTTGGACTCTGAGCTCTGTCTGGTTGTACTAATTGGATTCTTTAAGAGATGGCCTTCCGGACCCCAATGAGATGACGTTTGCCGGTTTTAATTACTGGGAGGCTTCTCTGGATTGAGTTTCTTCCCCGGGGGTAACCTGAAGGCTTCCTCTTGGGGGTGAGGCTGGGGGTGGCTTCCTTGGCTTCATGACCCTGAGTCCCAGGGGTCCCAGGAGCTGCCTAGAGATGTGCTCCTAGGAACACAGCCTCTTCGGGACCGGGTCCCTCCAGCGCATCAATCTAGAACACCATCTAGGAACAGTGAAGTCCTGGAAAAGGAAACCGGGAGGGAACCGTGAACCAGGGCACCGCCCTGTGCTCCGGGAACCTGTGAGTGACGTGCAGCCGCGGAGACGCAGAGGCGCGCCCCCCCCCCCATCCTTGTCTCCCTGCCTGGGACTCTTGTTTGGAAAGGTGGGGTCGCACCAGCTGGGACTTCTGGCTCCTCCTTAGTGGGCTGCCTTCTAGAAGTTCCATGAAACGTTTTACCTGCACAAAGTGACCCCGGTCAGCGTGGGCCTGTCTGAAGCGGAATCTGAGAAAACCGCAGAAGAGTTCCTTTCCCAGCTTTGCCAGAATTTCTTTCACTTGCTTGTATCCGAATGCAAATGAATCGTATGGGTGCAAGATAATAAGCTTATTGCACAGAGGAGGGTGCAGACGTCTGTTGTGAATACGCTAACTAACGGGCCACGTTTTTGCAGCAAAGGTGGTGATAAGCTATCCTAGGCCCCAAGTGCCAGGGGCTGTTGGGAGCCCTGGGTTCCCATGTGGGGGGAGCGGGTTGCCCACGGGCCTTCTCCCACCCTGATTGGGGACTGTCTTCAGGGAACACGAGAAGGAAGTACAGAACCGGAAGCGAGGCAAGCGGCCCAGGGGCAGGCCCCGGAAGCACACGGTCATGTCCTGCAGCCGGCACTCCAAGCTCAAGGTGGGTTGCTGCTGGCCCGACGTGGCTCCTTCCCTCCGAGCGCGCACTCTGGGCAGAGCAGAAGGCGCTGTGGGATGGCTGGGGCTTCGGGAAATGGGATTGGGCAGCGTGTCCACAGGTGGTTCCCTTGCCCAGAAGACCGTGGCCTCAGGCTTTCTTCCTCACTTGTTAGGGTTAGAGTTTAGAGGTTAGGGGTTGGGTTTAGGATTTAGGGGTTGGGGTTAGGGTTTAGGGGCTGGGGTTGGGATTAGGATTTAGGGGTTAGAGTTAGGGGTTAGGGATTGAGGTTTAGGGGTTGGGGTTAGGCCTGAGCCAGAGCCAGCAGGGGCAACAGCAGGCCCCAGCTCCCCCTCCCACCCCGCCCTGCCACCTGCAGCGGCCACCCCCCTCTAGAGCTGGTTTCCGGTTCGTTCCGTATCCCTCGTGGACAGCAGGGTCCGACTGAGCTGCTGACCACTGTCTCATTGCTGGTGGCTCACAGGAGAGGAAGGGAACAGGAAGTGCACATACAGTAGGTGCTCGCAGATTCACAACGATCCAGGGCAACACATGAGCACACGCGCACCTGGCAATGCCTTCCTTGAGCAGTTCAGAGGCAGGGTGCAGGGAGATGGTTGTGAGTGTGTCTTAGGTTCCCTTCCCAGGGGCCCTGCCCTAGGATCTCGAAGCCACACATTGTGGCCCGGAGCTCAGTCACATACACAAACTGCTCTCGTGGGAGGCTCTGGAAACCTTCTGTGTCAGGGGCTGAGGGGAGTCCTGCGCGGGAGAATACGGGGTGTCGATGGAGAGGGGCGACGCAGGCCAGCCCTCTGGCTCAGGCCCCTGCCAGCTGCGGAGACCAGCTGGGGACCACGGAAGTGGCTTCGAGGCGGAGGGCCCGGCTGGACAAGGAGGCCCTGAGGCCCCGGGTGGGGTTCGACCGTCCCAGCAGAAGGCGGACAAGCTTTGCAGCAGGGACCCCGCGCTGGCTTGGCCTCCCTGCAGCGCGCCTCTTCAGGCACCAAGTCAGTGGGACACAGTGTGCACTTACTGCACTTGGGGAGACGCCCAGGAGACGGGAAGGCGGCACTTTATTTTCCTGGCCACCGGAATGTCCATTCAGGGGTCCTGAATGCATTTGGAAGTGGGACATCCTCTTCTGTTAGAGCGCAGAGCCCGTACCACACGCCTCCGCCCCCTGACCTGAGGCCCAGGAATCGTCTTCCTCCACGCTTCCCTCCCTGAGCTGTGTGTGGGAGCGTCTGGGGCCAGACCGTCCCCGTCACGGCCATGGTGTCAGGGATGTGACTGCACGCGGTCTTGGCTGTGTTCTGATTTCCTGAACCCCCTGTTTCTTTGTTCTGTTCGTTCTGCTTTTAACTGCATTCTGTGGACTCAGGAGGACTTTCTGGATCTTTTCTGGAACACGGTAGTGAGAAACCGCTCCCTCTCGGCTCCTTGTCTCCCGTGGAAGCTACCAGAGGTTTTGGCTTGGAGCCGTCTGGTGCCTTCTGGACCCTGAGGGCCTGGTGACATCTTCTGCTCTGTCTTTGCAGGAACCAGACGCGCCTTCCAAGTCCAGCAGCTCCTCATCTTCCTCCACATCTTCCTCCACTTCCTCGGACGAAGAGGAGGACAGCGACTTAGACGCCAAGAGGGGTTCCCGGGGCCGCGAGACCCACCCAGTGCCTCAGAAGAAGGCCCAGATCTTGGTGGCCAAGCCTGAGTTGAAGGACCCCATCCGGAAGAAACGAGGCCGCAAGCCCCTGCCGCCGGAGCAGAAGGCGGCCCGGAGGCCCGTGAACCTGGCCAAGGTGCTGAAAACCGCCCGAAAGGACCTGGGCACGGCGGCCGGCAAGCTGCCCCCTCCGCTCAGCGCACCCGTGGCGGGCCTCGCAGCCCTGAAGGCCCATGCCAAGGAGGCGTGCGGCGGCCCCGGCACCATGGCCAGCCCGGAGAACCTGGCCAGCCTGATGAAGGGCATGGCCGGCAGCCCCAGCCGCGGTGGCCTCAGCTGGCAGAGCTCCATCGTGCACTACATGAATCGAATGAGCCAGAGCCAGGCCCAGGCCGCCAGCAGATTGGCACTCAAAGCCCAGGCCGCCAGCAAGTGTGGCCTCGGGCTGGACCTCAAGGTGCGGACGCAGAAGGGGGAGCTGGGGATGAGCCCCCCCGGAAGCAAAGCCCCAAAAGCCCCCAGCAGCGGGACTGCAGAGCCGAAAGGGGGCAGTGCAGGGGGCCCCCCCTACGTCCACGGCACCGGCAAGGCTGCCGCCGGGTGCCTGGGCCCCCAGCCCACGGCCGCGCAGGAGCTGAGCCTCCAGGCCTTGGACTTACAGAGTGTCAAAAATGGCACACCAGGGGCAGGCGCGACCGCCCGCCATGCCGCGGCCGCCAAGGGCATCACTGCCGCCAACCCAGCCACTGGGAAGGGCGCCGGGAGCGTCCCCACCGCGGGGAGCGGGACCGGTGTGTTCTCCGACCCCAGCAAGAGCGAGAAGCTGGCTTCTAGGGGAGCCACGCTGACTGCCCCCACAGGCAAGAGGGACTGCGTCAAGGGCAGCGCGGCCCCTGGGGGGCAGGAGGGCAGCGCAGCCCCCGGGGACGTGCGCAGGACGGCCTTGCCGTCGGAGGTGAGCACTGAGGAGGAAAACAGCAGCTCCGACCCCGACCCCGACCCCGCCTCCCCGCCCAGCGCCGGACAAAACCTGTCTGTGTCTGTGCAGACCAGCCAGGACTGGAAGCCCCCCCGCAGCCTCATCGAGCACGTCTTCGTCACTGACGTCACCGCCAACCTCGTCACGGTCACGGTGAAGGAGTCCCCCACCAGCGTGGGCTTCTTCAACCTGAGACATTACTGACGCCCGCGGCCGCCTGGCTGCCCGCGCTTGGCCTCTGGTTTCGCGCTGGTAACTGCCCTGCGCCCTGGGCCCGCTCCGGGTTTGCGGCAGCCCCCTGCAGGGGCGGGCTCGGAGGGGATGCCCCCAGGCCCCGCCTGGGCTCCAGGCAGGGTCGTACCTTGATGCCTTGCCAAGGTGGCCTTGCCCTCGTTCCTACCTCTGGGCCTTTGCTTCGCTTCCCACGCACCTCAGGAAGTCTGCCTCTCCCGCCTCCGGCTCACTGTTTCTCACGCGTCCCCTGCTGGATGTTTGAACTGCCCTCCCTCCCGGGCGCGTGATGACGGAATGTGGTCCACTCTCTTCTGGGTTTCCCAGGGACACAGCTGTTGGAGGGAACGCGTCTGGGGGAGGCGGGGGGGTGGGGAGGTCAGGCCTTGACGGACAGCGTGCGGGCTCAGCTAGGTTTTTAGGAGATGGGCCAGGTAAGGGACCTCACAGTCAGGCCCCCCCCTCAGTGCCTGAGCTGCCAAGGACTAGGGGTCTGTACGCCTCCCCATCCCCACCCCCACACCGACAGCTGAGGGCTGTGGCCTGAATGTAGGACAGGCGCTGGCTGTAGCCATGCTCGGGACCCTCGCAGACCTCTGTTGGTGCCCTGTAACCCTGGTTCAGGTTAACAACTGCAGCGCCAGAATGTCCTAGAAGCCAGCATGAACCGGGAGAGGCTGGGCCCACAGCTGCTTCATCTAAAGCCTCCATGTTTGGGGGAAGCAGAAGCAGAAGGGTGTCCCCGTGGCCGCCCTCCTTCCTGCCGTGGCGTGCCAGGACAGGGGATCCCGCGGACGGCCCCCGAGGAGCCCCAGGAAGGTGGGAGCGTCCCCAGGTGCTCAGCCCAGCTCCCACCCTTGGCCACCTCTCCCTGACAATCCCTCCCGCCTTTGGGGGTTCCGTGCGCTCCCTCTCAGCTGCAAGGCTGTGTCCTCTGACCATTTGGAAGTGGGGCACAATCTGGAAGGGCCCCCAGGAAAGGGCAGATCTGCCCGCCCCCAGACAGCTGAGGCTGGGAGCTGCCTTGTGTGGCTTTGGCGGAAAGGCAGGTCAAGGAGTGGGGACATTGTGATGCCAAAAGTGGGGGAGGTGTGGGTCCCCTGCCTCGGCGACCACCAGCTAGCAGGTGTGGGCACTCCCTCTGTCCTGTTGCCTTGATCACAGGGGAGCCCGACACAGTGGGCTCTGCTCTCTGAGGGGTGGGCCCACCAGACCTCTGACCCCTTAGTCCCCTGCCCTGCGCGCCAAATAGAAAGATGGCTTTTTGTGTATCTGAATCAATTTCAACAGTGTGCCTTTGGGGACAGACACACGTCCAGGACCTCGTCAAGGGACGTCCAGATGTGGCTCCCGGGTTTCCCTGCGCGGTAACCATGCGGGCGGTGGCAGGGGGCGGCGCCCATCTTGGCAGACCCGAGGGCTGGGGGTCCCAGACAACCAGGCTGGAAAGTGGGAGGCAGGCATCACAGCTCACACTGCACGGTCTGGAAGAACGGGGTCCTGGTGCCCAGGGCCGCTGGCTCCAGTCCCCCCTCCAGTCCTCAGACACCCACATGCTCCCTGGGTGTATCAAGCGGGCTTCTCTGGGCCGCCCGCCTCCCCCTTGGGATCTGACCACCTCCAGGTTTCTCAGCCCCTTTCCTGCCGGGCACCACGCTGCCTTCGAGGCCACAGAGCCAGGCCCGCAGCCGCTCCCTGAGCCTTGGGGACAGCCCAGGCCCCCAGGAGCTGTCGGATAGATGTGTGTCTGCACCAAACCCCGACGTGGTGCCTTTCTGTTTACCAGCTACTTCAATCCCAAAGTTGAATCTGCAAACACCTTAACTCCCAGCCACTTTGCCTTCTTGCTGTGTTGTGTGGTTTTATTCTGGTGCTGATAACTTCGTGTGGTCGTGTTTAAAAGAGTGTGTGCGTGCGTGCGTGCGTGTGTGCACACGTGCAGGCATGAATGCCTTCGCTGAAGACACGATTGCCATGTTTACCAATAAAAGTAGTACTTTTTTTTATTTGCTGCTATGTGTGCATGTGTGTGTGCTGTGCGTGCAGTGGGTGGGTGTGTGTGTGGCCGGGCATTAGTCGCATCTGTTTTGAGACCCCTTGTTTCTTTAATCCGCAGGGTCTCCTACATGGACCGATTTGCAGTGTATACTGAGTGGGTGTTTTGCTAACTGTTGTGTCTTTGTTTGCTTGTAATGGATCAGAAGGAGGAAGTGGCCAGTCTGTCCTCCTCTTAAGAGGGGTTGACCTATTTTTATATATATTTTTTGGTACCAAAAAGAGTGTTCCTTGTTTTGGTTACACTCAGAATTCTGACCTGGGCCTAGAGGTTTCATTGGGGGGAACTGGGGAGGACCAGAGCTTTGGACCAGTGCCAATCGCTGGCTTGATTTGTGTTTTTTAATTAAAAAAAAATTCGTGTATGCCACTTCTAATTGCTTTAAACTATGGCTGTTTGCTTTTTTAAGAGAGAGAACAAAAGTGACTACATTACGGCCCTGGGAAGCGTAAGATCTTTGTTTAAACAGGACAGCAGCCCAGCCCCCATATTCGGTCAGGACCTACCAGTTAGAGAAGATGGTTCCCCCAGGAAGCCCTCAGTGGTTTGGGGGGAGGGGGTGGGAGGCGGGGCGAGGTAGTGCCTAGATGACCAGATTTTTGCTCAAGTTCATCTAAAGATTCTGTGCTTTTCTAGTATTTTTGGAGAACTAACACTAGGCATGCGTTGCAGTTTTTTTTTTTTTTTTTTACTGATGTTAATTTATTTTGCAGGGGAAAGACATTAGCGAATGGTGTCAGGTTTTTGTCTTACTTTCTGTTAATTTTTAGCCTATCAATAAATACGGTTTTTCACTTGTCAGCCTCGTGTACGTGGTGAGTGATGCCTGGAAACAAGTCTCTTCATTTTCCCTTTCTTGAGGCAAAATCCATCCCTGGGCATGGACTGAATCATGGGACCAAAAAAAAAAAAGCCACAAAGCTTTGGGAGAGGGTGAGCCCCTCCCCCAGAGCGCAGGAAAAGGGGTTTTTTCTCAGCAGAAGGATGGGACTGAGTCTAACGGTGAACCGCTCCATTGGCAGTTCACACACCGTGATTTGGCGACAACGTCTGGAGAGATTCTGGTTGTCACAACTTGGGGGCAGGGGTCCATGTCGCGGCGCCTGGTGGGTGGAGGCCAAGAGATGCTGCCGTACATAGTAAGCTCACGTTGAGACCTTTCCCAGAAAGTGATACTTTAAGTACAAACAAACATCCTGTGTTGGAAAACTACACAGCACAGAGGTAACGGCGATAAACTTTCATGGGAGGCACTGCGGAGCTCGAGGCTTCCAGTGCCTGCTGCTCTGCTACTCTTCGCTCCGTAGGTCGTCATTAAGAGGTGATGGCTTAGTCCAGAACCTTCCCTGGGTCTGTAAGGTTTGCATCACCCAATGCATGAATTTGTTCATAAATGTCAGCCTCCAGGGAGAACCGGGCTTCCTCTGAAGTGAAGACAGAAGTGTGACGTGGGTGCTGGCCACCGCTAGTTGAAAGGCTAGTTGGGGCAAAGGCCTGAATGTTTTCCTTCCGGAAGAGCCTCCCACTACAAAGAGCAATGCAGCCCACTCGCCAGAAGAGGCCTGGGAATTTGAAGTGAGCTTCCTGTAGGCAGGGCTCTGGGCCGGAGCGGTTTTGTTTGGGGGAAGGTGGGCGAGGACGACCCTAGGCGCCCTGTCCTGTCTCTGGGTTTCGGGAGCTGCAGAAAGGGGCGGGGATGGCCAGGAAGGAGCGGGAAAGCGGAGGGGGAGCCCACGCTGCGCCGGGTGGGGAGCCCAGTTGTCCCGGGCCTCTGCCAGACGGGAGCGCGGCCCTGACCCACGACCGCCTTTGTTCGTTTCTGCGCCGCCGATCTGATGGCCTGGTCCACCGCCTTCCCAGAAGAGTGGGCTGGGCTGCCAAGGGGCCCGGCCCGGCCTCGGCCTCAGCCGGACCCTGTCCTCCGCTGGCTCGGCCAGTCCAAGGGCGCCCGGCGCGATGGGTCAGCAAGGTCCCGAGGACGCGATTCTGCCAGCTAACACCCCCTTCCTCTCCGCAAGGGAGGGCATAGAGGGGGCGCCCACCGTGGCCCCCTGTGGCCCGCTTTTGGGTAGGGGAGACGAGCCTTTCCCGGCTCCTTTGGAGACCCAGAAAGGCACCGGCCCAGAGCACTTCGCGAATCGAAAGGCCGGGAGGGGCGGGCGCCGGGGGAGGGACGGAGGCCGTGGCCTCTAGAGGGCGCGCGCAACCCGCGGAGTTCGAGCCTCGGGCTCCTGGGACGCGCGGGACCGTCCCCGCCTCGGGCTCCGAGCTGCCCCCGGGAACCAGATCGGGCGACCCCCACGCCGACTGCTCCCAGATGCCCCTGGCTGCCTCCAGTTCCGAAGTCTCGGGAAGAAAGCCCCGGCCCCAACCCACAGCCCCTTCCCCCGTGTCCAGGCCCCCGTGGCTGGACGCCGTGGAGCGCCGCCAAAGCACTGAGCAGCTCTGCTTCCAGACTCCAGCTGGGTCCGAGGCCCCCTCTGGGCCTGGAGGACTTCTCGGCGAGAGGAGGAAATCAGAGCCTGAGCCCCCAGATCGCTGGGTGCCGGCCTTCTCGCCGTCGGGCCTCCCGCGCACGGCACAGGGCCTCGACCCGGATCGGTGCGCTGTAAGCATCAAGGTGACAGAAAACTGGATTCCTTCCCACGCGCTCCGAAGAGCCACAGATTCCAGTCCCGCCAGCGGCGGCCACGGGAGCCGGCCAGGCCCTAGGGAAGCGGGGGAGCCGGCCCGGGACGCAGGCGGCACCCCGGGCCAGGCCTCCGCACCTGGCCCCTTTCTTTCCCGGAGAACTGCCCAGGGAACGGACACCGCGGAAGGAGTGAGGGTGCTGGGGGCCAGCTACCCGGGGAAAGGAGGCACACGGGGAGCCCTCGAATCTCCCTAAACATGAGCCCACCCCGCTGTCCAGGCGCGCAGGAGAGGTCTCTGGAGGGAGTCGGCCGGGCAGCCGGGCCACAGCTCAGGGGCTGGCGGTCCACAGCGCCCCTCGCCCGGCCTCCGCACTCCACCCCGCCCCGAGTCGCCTGCAGGGCGCGGGCCGTCAAGCCGGAAGGGCACTCAACGCCCCCTGACCCGCTGCCCCGAGCCCGGGCGCAGGTCGCTCCCTCCCTCCCGGATCCTCCTCCGGCTCCCCAAAACTGAAGGAGGAGGTGCGGAGAGCACCGCCAAGGGCGGGGTCCCCAACGGGCTGGCTGAAGACAGAAGACGCGCCGGCGACCGCGTCCCCACGCCCCTCCCTTCGCGCCCTGTCGGGGCGCCTAGGTCGGTGCTTCCCTGCGCGACGGGGCCGCGGGGGCCACGGGGCTGGTACTGGGACTACGCGGTGGCCGCCTTGGGGTCCGGAAGGCCGCTCTACTCGACCGCCCCACGTCCGCCCCAGCAAAGTCTTCTTGGGTCGGGAAGGGCCTAGAATCCCCCCATCCCCGCCCTGAGCTCCGCTCTCCCCCGGCCACGCCTCGCCCAGCGTTGGAGCTTCCACACCCGAAGAAGCCCGGGGACAGGGCGGCTGGCGGGGGGCGGGGGGCGCGGGGCTGCGCCGCGGCAGCGCCAGGTTCACTAATCACATCAGCCCGCTCTGCGCCGGCTCCGAGCAGCCAGTTGCCTAGCAATACCCGCGAATTCAATTCCTCAATCAATAGGCGCGAGGCGCTGCATTTCGGGGAGCTCTGGCGAGACTGGGTGGGTCTGGGGGGCGGGTCCCACGACAGCCCCGGGAAGCAGGCCGGAATGGCCCGGGGCACGCGACTTTGGGGCTCCCGGGCCTCGGGGACCAGCGCCGTCGGGCCTAGGGGTGGGGCGCGCCAGGGGGAGCCCCGTCAGAAGAAAGGGGGACCGAAAGGTCGCGGCCGTCCTCTTGAGGTCCCTGAGTTCTACTTGGGCCGCAGGAAACGCAGCCAGTGGCTGAGGAAAGGCAAGACCTCCCCCAGGAGGCGAAGGAGAGTCAGACCCCACTCCCTCCGGAGCGCGCCTCTCTCCCTCCCCTAGTTGGGGTTCCCCCAGTTGGGGAAGGGCCTTTGCTGGGGGGGAATCCTCCCGAGCTGATTGGGCCGAGAGTGGGGGTAGATGGGTTGGGTAATGAGACGGGAAGAAAGGGCTCTCGCTGGGGGGGGGGGGCTCCTCTTCCCTCTGCTGAGTGGGGGGAGAAAGGAATAAAAGCGAGACACGTCTCTATTTACAAAGTATATATTTAAACACGTAGAAAGCGGCATTGGATACAGACATTCACGACCGCAGAAGATAAGTACCGAAGCTCCACTCTTGAGCTGAGGCGGGATCGATTCGAGATTTGTACAAATCTTAGAATTAAATAAACCCAACACGCGCCCCTCCCGCGCGTTGCAGACCCCCAGCCCCGGCCCCCGCCCGCCCACCCCCCAGGTCAGCGGCGCGGAGCCAGCGGAGAGGACACACACTCCACGGCCACGGACACACGGCGGACAGCGGGGCTGGGGGGCAGCGTCCGGCCGGCCCAGGACCGCGGAGGGAAGGGGCCAAGCCTGCCCCGGGGAGGGACGCGAGGCCAAGGGAGCGAGGGGAGAAGGACGGCGGCAGCCAGGTAAAGACACGCGTCCCCGAGTCACCGTCCACTGGGTAACAGCCATGTCCCTTCCATGAAGCTTCATCTGAAAATAGCGTCCACATTTAAATAGATACACTTGGTCAGCGGCGCTTCTTTATACAAAGTCTAAAATACCAGTTTTACAAATGTGAGCAGATAAAAATCCCCATTCAAGGGGCTTCTCTTTATAGGCGCCATTTGATATTCAAAAACAAATAAAATCATGTAGCACACCGTTTTCCTCTTTTTTTTTCTTTTTTTTTTTTAACCCCCTCTCTTTAAAGGCAAGAAAGTCTGGGGGAGAGAGGGAGGTGGGGAGATGGGGAGTGCGGAGGAGGACGAGGCTGGTGTTCCCACTCTGTACCCCCATCCAGAAGCTCTCCCCCCAGCTCCCCCCCCCCGCCT